TAAGGAACAATAAACTGTATTATACACTCATGTATTGTAGAAAAACTTATGGTTGTGGTTGCAACAAACATGACAAAATAATAGATAGATCAATTCTATGTAAATTTAATTTCTCATTGTAATAAAGAAAAATACTGGGTATGCAGGAACATCTGTTTTCAAGAAAATTAGAGACAAAATACATATCTCCAGAGGAGGACACAAAATGCTTTGCTGACAGGAAAAAAATGAATCTAGAGAAGAAACAAAGCCTCTCAAATAATCTCTACTTTCTGGGATGACTTAGTACAGCAAACCATGGTTTTACTGGGTTGAAAATTCTGTTCTCCTGGGTTAAACCATTCCTGAAATCAAAACAGAATGCAAGTTTAATGCATCAAAGCCAAGCTCCATTTTTGTTTAGCTCAAAACTGAACCTGTAGCTTAAGCTATTCAAACTCTGCAGGAACAATCTTCATACAATCAGGTTCAGACTTTCAGAAAAACAAAAATATCCATGTAAAAGTAGAATGTCAGCAGCTAAGGGACTGGTAATGCAAGGAAGGATAGGCTTACACACAAGTTCTATCAAATAAAAAAGAGAACCCACAACTGGTTTTTCTGCACATGGCTTCCATACCTGTTTCTTCAAAAGGAAATCTTAAAGTTTTTAACAAACTTGTGCTCAAATGCACACAAACTGACACAAATTTGTAAATATAAGCAACAAATTAATCTTCAAACCTTGCACAGTAAGTAAATGTAATTACGCTTTGTCACTGAAACTATATTCAAAATAAGTGAGTATAAAACAAGCATGCATGATTTAATCTATTTTATTTTACACCATTCTACATGGTCCACTCTGATATTTCACTGCCCTTCTGAAATGCTTCCTCAGATGTAACCTTCAAAGCTGTCTGACTTCAGAATTGTGTCACTACCAAAGAGCCAGTGCACAACAACAGGCTAAATATGATAATATAAAGAATACTCGGGAAAGGGAGAAACATCAACTTGAACACAAATGCAACCATAAAGGTTTTCTAATCAAGTGGGATAACTTGAGGCACACATTCAGTCTTTCATGGGGAATATATTGTTATGTTGTGAACTCTACTATACTGTCTTCCAAGTCCAGAATTTCTGGTTGGTAATGTTTGGTTTTGATTTATTATTATACCAAAATAATTTAGAAGTTTTTCAAGATTGTATTGCTTTCATTTGGTTTTTGTTTCTTTGGTTGCTTTTTTTTTCTTTTTTTGAATTTATTGATGCATACCCTTTCCTGTAGTTTATCCTAGCATAACTTGATCTTGGGGTTCCTTCTTTGTTGTTGGAATGAAGTCTCTCCCTCTAAAAATCTTACTCATTTCTACAAAAATGTCTGCGTCTCCTCCCTGACACCTCCCTCCCCACCCCCTGCATAACATCCAAAGTATTCTACTTCTTTAAACACATCCTTCCAATGTCACACTACTAAGTCTCCGAGAGATTAAATGTTCAGTACCTGTGTGAAGCAAGGCAGGGACTTTTCAAATCACAGGGTCAGTCCGCCTGATGGAGCAAATATAATATCTGAGTGCGGTCTCTATTTATTACCAGAAATAGAAGTTTCACAGGGTAAGTGGTTATATGGAATTCTCTTTAGATTTCCCACAAGCTATTGCTAAATTTATAGATTCTCTCACTAAAATCTCTCCTTTGCAACCCTTAAGGATGCAGCAAAATAAACACAGTAATTCAGCTGTCAGTGACTGTTCTCATGCTTGAACTGGAGGCAGTCTCTCGCATGCTACCTGCATTCACCCTTGTTGGGCAAAGCTGCTATGGGAATGTCTACTACAGAGAGTCTCAAGCCAGATGCAAAAGAACTGGTATATTTACACAGAATAATATAGTGCCTTACCTTTATACTAGTTGAAATCCCAGAAGCAATAGAGCCACCTGTGCCAGCTACAGAGGGCAAGCTCAGATGGGCCTGTATAAGATGGCAGGACTGAAAAGCCACTACAGAGCTGCTGTGTGCCTCCATCAGAAATGGAGATGCATCAGGTATCTGCTGCCCAGAAAGTGTGATACTTGGAAGAACAGAAACATCAGAAGCACAACACAAGGCAGACAGAACAGGAGCTCACAGATGAAGGGTTTAGGGATAAGATGCCAGAGCAGGAGTTCAAGCACATATTTAGACTCTATTTCCATGAGAAAGGAGTGAAACAGATCAAATTATTCTTCGCATACTCCATATTCATCATCTATGATTTCATCAAAACCTACTTAGGCAAGGAATGACCACATCTGAAGGCAAAGCATGACCTTTGATAAAAATAAGGCATGATAACTGAATTTGGAAGTCAGTCACCCAAAGCCTCTCCAGTGCTCTGCCCATGCCCAGAAATGTTTTTCAACTGTAGAGCAAATCTATCAATGCATAGGACCTGAATGCAACATAACTAGGAAGGTATGGGAATATTAATGTTAAGTCCATCAAGCTAAGAAAGCTCTGTCCATAGATTAAGAGAAAACCAAAAGGTCAGAGAACCATGTCACTTCATAATATCTCCTGTGCATGAACACAGCAGATTCAAAACTGATCATGTGACATTGCAGCATGAGATAAAGGAGATCTCAGGCACTAAACAGACCATGTTTGTAAACAAAATCTTCTTTCCAGCTTTTGTAGCCAATTACACATTCTAGAAGCATTTTTGCTGACAGCATGGTTGTATGTCAATATAAAAATATTTTGTAAATATAACTTACTCATCAGCTTTTATTCCCATAGAGTTTAGAAAAAACAATTAAATATAATAGTTACCATACCCCTTTGGCTAGACTTAGTGAGTAGAAATACTAAAAAATGATTCCAGAGAACCTTTTTGAAAATATCAGCTGAAGTATTACTGCAATAGAGTATAGAAGAAAGCCAGCAGTGATAGATTGTACTCTACTCACACTATATAGTTCTCCCATACATAAAACAGTCATTATAACTCATTAAATCAGAATAACTTTTTTTAAAAAGTGTTCTTACAGTAACAGATAGAGGAATGCACAGTGTATTAGTTATCAATGCTTTATTATTGAAAACAAAGTTGAAATTCTCTTATCTGGCACATAAACAATTATTTCTACAAAAAAGGAAAGCCTACAAATCTGATAATTTATACAAATAACAGTTTTTTAAAAAATAAAATTTTAATTTAGTAAACTTGTCTTGTGCTCTTTTCTTTTTTTTTTTTTTAGCACTGTCTGCAATAATCCACCATAAATCCCTGAGCAGAGAGACATATTTTAAACATGTTTTAAATTTATCCGAAAAGAAGAAAGTTATCGAGCCCAGACCTATATTAAAAAAAATGTATTCAGGGACATTCTTGTTAAATTTATGCTAGTTCTTTTTTCTTTCTTTTCTTTTCTTTTTTTTTTTTTTTTTTTTTTTTTTTTTAAAAAAAAAAAAAGAAACAAACAGAACCAGTTATCAATGCAAGCATGACACTGCATCACAGGAGTGCTCCCCCTTTCCCCTTTTTGTGCAATGAATAAAAATTACTAAACAAGAATGAGTACAAGTTGAAGGAGACAAATAACATAGTGAACAGCTAAGACCAAGAAACCATCGAAGTATGATGGCTGTTGAGCAAATAAATCTGCAGGATACCACAGTTTTATACTGAGTTCAGTTATAGTTACTATCTATCTAATTTATTTCTATACTTTTTCCAGAAAGTCAGTAAAGCAGGAGAGTAAGTTCAAGCTACCACTGTATTCTAACACTGATTTCAATGACGAAGTAGGAATTCAACTTTTGACCCTTCAATTTTGCTTTTCCAGTCCCAACATTATTTGAGAAAAACTTGATACACTCCACAAAACCAAACAATCTTGCCCCTCTGGCCCTTCTGGTAGGCCAGTTGTAAACTTAACAATTTATGGTATTTTAGTGAGCAAGAGGAAAGAAAAGGATACACACAACACTACAATTTTTTAATATACTGACTTTGAAACAGCTACTCCCCAATCTATTTCAATACTGATTTAAAATCCAAATGTAGAGGGGAGAACAACCTAGAAGGTAGAGTATAACTCAAGTGTCCCCTTTCCTGTTAGGTACACACACTAACCACAAAAAAATGCAAGGAAAACCAAATTAAAAAAATAGCATTACTTACAGACTGTTGTGTTAATGGCAGGTAACGTTGCTGCAGTCAAGTAATAAATAAATAAATACAGCAAAGTATTCTTGTTTACGGTTTTGTTGGAATGGTGCTTAACAGTTAAAAAGAAAAAAAAAACCCAAACCTTTTCTCAGTAATAAAGAGTTTTTAACAGAAGATCCTGAAGAAGCTTCAGTTCAAGGTGCTCTACCACTTTAAGATTATATCTACCATTATGAAAAGAACACTGAAGCAGATACCAACAGATCATTAAATGAAATAGTAAATTTTCTTACACGCAATAATACTTATTCCAAATAAAGAAAGCAGTTACAAATGGCCTGGAAAAAAACTGACTAAAGTTTCAATACACTGCAATTTAAAATAAATTATTTTTACATTTAAAAACTGAAGATTAAAACAGTAACTAGGCCAAATCAATCTGAAACAAATAAATTGAACTTCACCAAAAGCATATTTAGATATTTGACAGCTCTGCTGATAGCACACATGACAGAATACAAACAGAATGCTAATATTTGGTTAGAATTTGAATAGGTAATATTTTTTAAAACATCACCACTGTGAAAAGTAACTGGCAACCACCTTTACAGATTTCTCTTTATCTAGACTGTCTTAAGCATGATCTAATCCAACTCCTTGCTAACCTCACCAATGTATAACATTCCCTTTTCTCCGAGTTGTTCATGAAGTCTCTTTTCTAACATAACCAAGCACTAATATTTTCAAATTTCACTTGACTGAGTTATTGCAAAAATACTGTATGCAGTCCAGTTTAAAGCTGGTTTTATCTGACAGCCCAGTGTTCTATAATCTTTTTTTTTTTTTTTTTTTTTTTTAAATGACAGTTTGTCCGCATTCATTTGATATCAGAGCAAACATCAGTCTTGCTTGTACTGCTAAATCACACCTCTGGATTTATTTTTTTTTTTTTTTACCACTCTACATACACATCTGATGTAGTATGCACTATGTACTGATGTAGAATATGGGCAGTTCCTTGCTCATCTGTTTAGGGCAAAGCCATTTGACTGTGTATCTCAAGAAAACTGCATTAAAACTTAGCAAGATGAAATACTATACATATTCTCAGTAAACAATTATGAATGCTGTCATCTAATCACAAGTGACAGGTTTGAAAAAAATTGGCCATATAAGTTGTGAAATTGGTAAGCAAGTGGTCCTAAAGTGAGATACAGCAGCATTAAGACAAACTGCAAACACACTGGATTTAGTATACATTTTAATGAGTTACAATATCAGCAAAATACTTTAACCTACTATTACTATTTTTACTCCCATATGGCTTACTGTATACTGTACAATTTTCCCTTGGTATTTCTATGACAGTATACATTTCAACCCAAAAATGAGCAATATGGGATTTGCAAGGATTTTTCAAATACGCCAAAACACTTTCTTTCCAGTGCTATGGTTCTAAATATTTTTGTGGGGTGACAAGTCCTTCATGAATATCTCAAAGTCTCCCTTTTTCTATTTATCTAGCAAAAAGATTTATGCCAAAAATGCAGAATATCTTCTCCTAGCAGCAATTAAGACCTCTGATGCTTGCAGTCAAGTCCAATGAGTTCTCTGATTGGACAACTGTGTGGAAGTTCTAGTTCGTGGCTTTAATCAATTTAAGAAAAAAATACTTCAGCGTTTTCATCATCATGTTTTGGATGTCTTTAAACCTTGTTTCTCCATGATGTTCCACAATTTGCGAAGATTGGACTGAGTGATGACATCATCAGGTTTAAGATGAAGTGCAAGGAGGTAGTTTTCTTCAGCCTCTTTCAGTTTACCATTCAGATGAAGAATAGCTCCAAGATTCATTAGGGCAGCTGGATACTAGTACAAAAAAAAGGGAAGGAACAATATTAGGAATATTTTCAATTTTTCTTTTTAGACAATCTTTTTCCACTTAAACAAATTATTCCCTCATTTTGCAGACTTTTCATGGAAGCAATTCACCAATTTAGGCAAATAGAGATAACAAGAAAAAGTTTCTGAACAGCCGCTGTATACTTTGTGCTTTAAACAGGGCAAGCTTTGGTGTCTACAGACATAGACTTCTCTCTTTAATGAGAAAACACAGAACTCATAAAGCTTTACATGTGGTAATGTCGGCATAGCACAATTTCCAAGAGAAAATTAAAGTAATCCAAGAGTGGATTAAAGACAGGAATTTAATTTGAATTCAACCCATTGCCAATAAAGAATTTATAATCATTGGGAATAGTTAACACATTGAAACTCATCCCCTTTTCCTCTCTGTCTTAATTATAACTAGTAGAAAATACAATCTGTTCTCAGATTCTAAGGATGTTCAGGGGTCCTAAGATATCCATTTAGATTCAGGATGTGGCAATTATTTCTTAATGAATGATTGAATAAAATTAACAATCATGGAAACACATGCTATTTTAATAAGATGTGAAAATTTCATAACAAATCAATTAAAATGCTTCTTATGTTACTAACAATTTTTCCATCTTTAGCCAAAACAAAAAGTTCCTTGCTTTTATTTTCTCATCTTTAGATTATTCCATTATGAAATAATAGGTTGTTCATGATAATTAAATAGACCTGGTTACTGGAGTTAACAAATATTGCAAGTGCAGAAAAGCAGATTTGTCAAGCTGAACAGTCTAACCTACCTTTCTGCAAGTACCTAAGCTATTCACATGCTAGTGAGAGCACAATAAAGGCATTTGCCAAACCAGTACCTTGCATTTCAAAGAAAAAGGGGAAAAAATGCTACACAAAGTTCACTATGGTTCTCTCCCTCAAGTCACTCTCTTTCAATAAGCTTCAGGAACACTCATTTTTGAAGTCACATAGTTTTGCCTCACAGGGTAAGTGTTTCAAGACACCACTCACTTGTGTTTTGATTCAAATGCAATACTAAAAATGTGAAGTCACATGGAAACTCAGCTTCATACTACTGTGTGGGGGTTTTGTTATGCTTTAGAAGCCCTCCAGTGACAAGAACTTCAGGAAAATATGGTAGGCAGATGGCCAATAAAATATACACTAGAGTTGGTCTCCCAGACTGATGTTCTGATTAGAAGTCATTAGGATGAGGAAGACTTACCTTTGTGTTCTAAACCTCTCCACTAGCAAGTTAAATTCACTACTCTTATCCTTCTGAATCAAGCTTCAAAAGTCCCCCCTCCCCCAATAATTCTTGTGTCCAAAACCTAAATTCTGTAGCAAAAATGTTGTTCAAAACATTCTCCAGTTTTATATCTTACAAATATTTCACATTTTTTCAGCTTTCTTCCTGTTTCTTTTCACCTATTAACACATGCAACACAAAACCTCATAAACATAAAATTTTCAGAGCAACTAGTTTCCAGAGTTTTAAAATTAAGCAAAACATAATGAGTTCAGCTCTTCCTATTGTAAACATCATAATGCTAATGCAGTGGAATCTGAAGATGCTATTTTTAGATTTATTTTTTCTTGCTTTACCCTGACAGATTATTTCCATCACCCCTAAGTCAATTACTTTGTTCTACTAAAAATCAAAACAAAACAAAAAAAAAACCCAAATAACTGGATTTTATAGTTTTCCCAGTTAAATATTCTTCAGAATTTCCTCTTCAGTCATATTCTGTACAGAGAGGGAAAGCCAAGCCCCTGAAATGTAATCTTTCTTATGGACAACACATATCAGCAGCCACATTATCATAGCTGCATCTTTGCAGTGCCAGTCTTGCATACTATTTTATAATACTCTCCTTAATTACAGATGTTCTGGATGCTAATTGAAGTGATGTAAGTGAAGAATGATCAGAAAACAGCTCCGCTGAATATGGATGACTGTCTAAATATCCACATACTTTATTTATTAATTTATTTTTAGACAAGATTGATTGAGAGAATTTTCTCAAATCATGAGTAAGATGGTCCATTCCCATTAACTGTGCTCCTTATTTGTTTAACGAGAATTTATGAATCAAACAGCTTTTTTCAAGAGCACAATTATTGACACAGAACTGTCTTCTCACTTGCAATATAACTATGTGCATATGTTTGCATCTAGACAAAGCTTACAATGGATAAGAATTAAAAATTCTTAAACCTAGAAAACCTCGTGTTAAATAAGACACACATTAAAATGTGCTCAGACGTAAATCTACAGCATCCACAAACTTACTGTGTGGGAAGTAACACAGTTGTCTCATATGGTTTCCAGAATTATTCTCTATTTCCTTCACATCCCTCTGAAAATATGGTATGTGTATGGTACTAATCAAGTACTCTAAAGAAAGACATATACATCAGGCTATATGCTTAGTTAAGAAAACACTTCTGCCATGATGTCTTTAATTTGATATATCATTTTACTACAGCAAGCAACAAGAACAGCTAGAAAAAGAACAAATTGCATGCCTTTTAACTGAACTTGAAATTTTCCAGCTTCTACACATCATTTCTCATTTCCTGGAGACCCAACAAATTTTAGGCCATTAATGCTCTAAACAAAGGTATCCATGGAAAGTGTGAATTAGTAACTCATTTCAGGTAGTGCTGAAAGTTCATTCCAACTCCTTCATGTTTCAAATGAGGAAGTGCACAGAATTTCGGAAAGGCTGCTCCCTAACTTTCTAGGGTACCAGTCACCCTAATATCTATGGCTTATTGTAAGAGTTGCAGGAATTTTGGGTGACTACTATATTATACTCCAGTGCTATTGCTCTATGACAGCAATAAATGATGGTCTGAGGACAAAAGAGCAACAGACATTTGCTATAGTTTTTCTTCACATATATTGTCTTTTATTAAAGACAGCTGATAAAACTTTTCAGTACGTTAACAAAGGCAGTCAGCAGCTACCAGTGCAATAACATGGGACTTGTAGCACTGTATAACAAATGACACCACCTACTACTTCAGAGACTTGAAAGAAGAAACAGGCCTGCCTTCATTTCCTTTTGGAGACAGATGCTTTACATCAAAAAAAGCTGACTGGCATTTCTATCGGGGTTATAAATGCTGTCTTTCATGGTCTATTGGGAATTATTCCCTTTATTAGCATTTTTATCATGGTGTGCTTGTTTCCTTAGTGTTTTTTTTTTTTTTTGGGGGGGGGGGGGGGGGCGCAGGGAGGGTTGTATGGGGAGGTGCTCATGGGGAGAAGGGGAGAAGAATAACAGAGTAGTTAATGAGTAACAAAATTGCAAAAGGCATGCATTTATTTGCCTGAAGTGTTTTTGGATCACATTGATGACAATTCTTTCAAACTTCCTCTGTACTACCAAAATGAAAGGAGAGCCTTGCTGTATACAAATTTTAATGTAAATTAAAGTCCTCTCTAAAGTTAGAGAACTATGGAATCTCCAAATAATTCAAAATAATTCTGAGTAGTATTTTAGGATTACACTAATGTAACCAAGTACAGTTTTGGACCCACAAACAGAATAAATCTTAATGACACAGTAGATGATAAGATTCCTTGTTCATTGTCTTTGGCTCCACATATAACAAATGCCATATCACAACAGTCCCAATCAGAAGAAGACAAGTTTACTCTATACCTAAGAAATTATGGAGAGAGAAACAAATACATGAACACTTAGCCTAACTCAAAACCATCTCTTGTATGGCAGACAAGTTTGAACAAACAACAGCCCAAACATAAGCAGTGAGATCTGAAATTGTTTTCCTCAAAGTTCTGGTTACAGATAACCTCCTCTGATCCACACCACAGAGGCCAGGGCAGCAGATTCTGAGCTGAAAGTGCATTTTGTTGCTGCTGGGGTACTTATAAGGAAAATCGTAGTAATTTTTAATCCAGTAGAATCACAAGTGCAACCTACTTCTCACTTAGCCATTTTAAAGGGTCACTGCAAAGATGTTGCCAATATTCATCTTGCTCTTAATAACTGAATAACTGAATAACTGAATAACTGAAAAACTGCAGTGTGTGATCTTGTAGATGTTTCAAAACAACCTCAGGGCTGTTTAATGAATACTGTAATCATCATGGCCAACCCATCAGAAACACAGAGGGTAAGTGTTTTAAAACCCTGCGATTAATGACACTTGTTCTTTTAAGGGTATCTGTTGAGTAAAGTCCATACTTAAAGAAGGACACAAAATGTCATTCAGATGTGACTATTCCATCACAGCACTTCTAGTTAAATATGGGTGAAGAATTCAGATATTTCTCTTTGATAACTGAAGATACGTAGGAGGCACAATGGCTGAGTAGTGAAACAGTAGAGTATTGGTTGTAGAATGGCTCACTAAGCACAAGAGCAAAGCGTGGTGGACTGCTTCATCTTATCAATGAATGTAGGATAATGAGCTGTCATGCCATTTTTATCCTACAGTGATAGCAAGAATTTTCACTTGAACTTTTATTACTGGTGCTATTTCTGTAGCACAGCATAGTATTTTCTGAAGCAATCAGAATGTCAACAACTCCTTTTTTATCACTAAGGATAACTGTGGACAACAGAATCATTTCAGGGGTGGCACTTGCATTTGACATACCTCACAACTTTTGAGCAAAACCATTATCTAGGAGTTGTCCCACAATGTAAGCATACTACTTTAAGGCATGGGGGTGGGCAGAGAAGGTAGAAGGAGAGATGGGGAAGGGACATGCAGCAAGATGGTTGTTGCCAACTGGATCTTACTCTTCAATGCAATACATTGACAACACTGTAAACTCAACAGTGACAAATGGAAGTAGACTTTTTCATAGGAGCAACATAGTGTTGCCAGATAAGTCAAGTGCCAGTTATTCTTTCCAGAGACTCATGTTTCTATCTGGTTCTCTATGTTATAAGGCTTCTTAAGAACTGCAGTTTGTATATGTTATGTCTGGTATTTTG